AGGGGAGGGGAGGGGAGGGGAGGGGAGGAGAGTGTTCGTGCCACAGGACTCAGGTTTATCGTCACAACTTTCTTGATTGCATTCCTCCATCCATTGGAATTTCTCCTAACCCTGAACATCTCTGCCTGTATTATAGCCAAATAGCATGGCACAGGTGTGTCATACAACAGTATGCATTAATCGTGTTGTGGTTAATATCAGTAATCCAAGTCACATCGATTTAAGAATGGAAAAGCATAAACTTCAAAGGTGTAAAATCACGGGTGCTGTGGCAATTCCCAGATGTTTGGAAGTGGCGTGCCAGGGTGGTGTTTAGCACCATATTCCGTATTCGCTTCCTAAGTTATATGGCTGCTTATGTTCACCATCCTTAACGGTTTTCAGGTTTGTTGTGTTCTTAGCGTGACTCTTGCTGGCTTTGCATGTACAACATTCTACTGCTGTTTACGGACTGTATTTTTCTTTCATGTCCACATCTCATTAATGTCTGTCTGTCTTCATTAGTTGCCATCCATTGTCTGGAGAATGTAGCTGCAAAGTTGGCTGGGCTGGACTCTACTGCAATGAAACCTGTCCCCCTGGATACTACGGTGAAGGCTGCCAGCTGACCTGCCCTTGCCAGAACGGTGCAGATTGTGACAGCATCACCGGGAAGTGTTCGTGTGCACCGGGATATATGGTAAGTGAGAGCTGTGAATTTCATAAAGTACCTGCAAAAAATTAAATAGGATTTTAATCTGTTTTCAAATAATATTTGCATAACAGTGGCCAATGCAGGTAATTTTTCCCCATTCTGTTATAAGTCCACATAGTTCTCCTTTGAGCAGTGTCAGCTTATTACTTCTGGTTATTTACTTAACATCAGTATTGTAAGTTTATTACTGTTATAAGGATAAAGACATGGTTTTCCATCGTATATTCTAAGTCAAGACATAACAAAAAAGATGTCAGATTATTGTCTGCCTGGAAGAGCAGAAAAAGAATTCTCATGGCCTTTCAGCATGTTCCTTGTCAGTCACACTGTGATTTTAATAGATGAAGATCTTTTAAGATGTTACAAATGATAGAGCAATTTATGTCTTTTCTGAGCATATATGGCAGGTGTCTTTTACCTGAGCATCAGAAAGAGCTTCAGACGTTCTGAGGTAAACAAGCATTACATTTTATAGGTGAAATATAAAATGGGTGAAGAAATCAGCCAAGATGAAACAACAATTCAGAATTAAGGATTTCCAGGTTGTAGCAGAAAGTGTTAGGACATGGATCCACATGTCCAGTCCTGCTACAGCTGAGCATAATGGAGCTCTTGCTAGTAAGTTCCCTGGTCATCCATCTTTACTTCAGGAGAACACCACAGAAGAGATCTGCAGGCTATGTTTAAGAAACAATACTTCCTAAAGAAAAAAAATTATTTTCAAGAGAGAATTCTGCCACAACATCATTAGCAGTTGTCTTTTTGTAATCTGTGTCCTTAATTTTACATGATCTGTCCCCACAGGCTTATCTATATGTTTTCTATACTATTATAGTAAATATTAGTTATAATTACTAAGTTTACTAGAAAGCAAGCTTCAGATTCAAAGACATTCCCAATATTTTTAGAGCTTCCACTGACATTTAGCGGCCAACTAAAATGTGCAGCCTCCTACATGAGTTTTACCCTCTATTTTAAGTTACAACTTCAAAATGAGATGAGTAAATATCTTCAAATACTAGGGAACATGAGATGTGAACTTTGACCATATTGAAGCTCTTTTGATTTGTATTTATGAAACACAGTGGACATCGTACCAGGCAGCTTTAGAAACAACGGGAGGGGAATGGCATGTTGGATCTGGACAGCCGAGCAGCCACATCCTACCATCAGCGCCCACTGCGGTGTTTAGGGTTTTCTTGAAAAAACATTGCTGTATTCTGCAGGGGCATATGTTGTGCTGTCATCTATAGGGGAAGGCTGCACAGCTGTGTGACAAGATCCATAGTGTGGGAGTCCTATGTGAGATTAGTGGGATGCTAAAGCCTTTTTAGACTCCCTCCCTTTCAAATCCACACCTGAGCATGTGATCACGAACTGCATCTCCAGAACTGTGGAACAGGAGTTATGGCTTAAAGGCACTTTTGTTCTCTGCTTCATGTCAACAGCTGAACCTGAAAGTTGGAGCTTCCATCTAATTTCCAAGGGTTCTCTCAATGCCGGGTATAAACAGATTTTTTTAGGTGTGAGGGGTAGGACTGTCAAAAGCATCTATGCAAGACACTAGTTCTTAAAGAAGTAAAAAAAAGATGAAAAAGGCTTTGAGGTTTGATTCCCCACTCACTTACACTGACAGAAAACAAGAATTTATCTTCTCTATACAGTGGTGATACACAAGTAAATACAGACTGAAGGAAAGAATGAAGGCAGGAGCATGTTAGTAACAAATGCAAAATAAAAAGATACCAAGAACCTCTTTCTTATCAGGAATGCTGTTCAAGTTTGCAGCACAAAAATATTTTGGGACCCTTTACCATACACATCTTAAAAAAAGCATAGTTGTCCAATATATATTGCTTCAAGACAGTATTATTGCAGGCGCGAAGCCTGCGAAGTTCCTATCTCATTGCTTCAAAATAGTATTTAATCTCATAATAAAGAGCTTTCTTGCATTGACATTTAAACAGCTTGGTTATTGAGGATAGCTCTATAATCACTGAAGCATATTTAAGCATTAGTATCATTGCTCTCTCATAATATACTATAATCTCTGGCAATTAGTCCATGAGGGGAAGTAAAGCCTTGAAATCGCTAATTTATTGCCTCTGAAGCATATTTGTCATTCGTATGCATGCCAGCTGACTTGAGTTGCACTGGTTCTTTCAAATGCTAGAGAACATAGGCTGTAAAGAAAACTTGACAGGAACCTTTACTTCCTACCCCGGACCGGCGGGGGCCTGCCGGGCGGTGTCCTGCCGAGCTGCTCTGGCTGTACGCTCCATCGTCTGGGCAGGGAGCAGGTGTCAGCGCTGCTTCACGACGCAGCCTGCAGGTCATGTGGAAGATGCTGTGGGGCCAGAACCCTCGCGAGGCTTGAAGTGGCTTCCCTCAATGACACGCTCAAGACCAGACTTTGCCTTCAAATATGCATGCCTGCCTCTTGCTGAGGCCATGGGGAGCTTTGCCTGCGGGTAGAATTTTGCCCTTGAATTCGGCTAGCCTGCAAGCGAGTGGCGCGACTGTTCACGAATGCAGGATGTCTCTTTTGGCAGTGCTGACAACAGAGTGATGCTAATACAGAACTGGGCAGAGCTAATTATTCAGAAAAGCCATAAATGAATCCCTTTTGCTTTTTCTAGCATGAAGTTTGGCTGATGCAGCTACAGCGTCAGGAATTTTGCCATTGTGATTGGAAAGAATGAAAGTGGGATCAACATCTTGCATTTTACAGAAACGTTTGATCTACACACGATTTTATATCACAGAGCGGGCTGAAGGGTTTCTGAGTAAGGGGGGAAGGAAGAGAATGTGGTGGGACATGGGATATAACTGCAAAATCTAACTGCGAAGGCAGAGAGGTTGGACCCATAGGACTTTTGGGTTACTGGATGCCTGGAAAACATAGGGACCACGAAATGTCAGACTTTTCCTGACAAAGCACTCCGCCAGCCCACTTCTTTTGCACAGATGGCTTGTTTTTTAACTGTGCCCTGCCTCGGCTGTGTCAGGGCAGCTGGGCAGGGTTTCAGAATGAATCATCTGCAATCGCAGCCAAAACAGGGACATTTTGTTGGGATGCAGAACAAGCCATTAAAAACACAAAGCATCTGGTCACCTTTATTAAATGTATTAAGTAGAAAGGCAGCCGTCCCATAGGTTGACATGTACGTGAGCAGAGCACTTAATTTTTGGAAGTTAAGCAGATTCAAGTTTTAAAATAAAAATGCACATTGTAGCTCAGAAAATAATACATTATTTATTAGCTGTGACATTTCCAAAAATTCAAATGCCAAAGCTAAATATTGGTGAGCTTGCAGTTTTGGATAGAATTTCAAAGCATTTTGTGTCTTCTTTATTTGATGAATATTTTGGGTCAGATTCAACAACCAGATTTGCATATACCTAGCTCTGAAAACAAATTACATTGTTGTAAAGATGTTATTGGGTACCAGTACAGGTTATTTGTGTGAGGTTCTGATATGACTGTGCTCACGCTAAGGGATTGCACTATTTTAACTGTATGGGTGTCTAAACCGCAGTGCAGACACTGTGTGTAGACTTGACTAAAGAGGTGGCTGAGAAATCTGAGTGATGCACAATCATACCCAAAACGGCCCAGTTCTTGGAGGCAGCATACAGGCCAATAAAAATAGGATAATAAGAGCAGAGGAGACACAACAAAACCTTATTCCCCAAAATCACAGAGTATGTCTACAGCTACTCCTCATATGCTCCGGCAGTAGAGTCCACGCTGCAGGCCTGTTGGAAACCCTGTGCTTATTGCATCTCACTTGTAAAGGGAGGATAAAGGTTGTATCCATTTAATTAAGATGATTGCAGGGAATCATCATGATAAACGTACCAATAGGGCACTTCCCTGAAACTGGTATTTTTAACGTATTTGAGGATTGCCTCTCAATACTCATGTAATGAATTGCCAGTGATGCTTTTCTGAAGGATGGTTTTGAAAAGCCATTCTGCTGCCATCTCATTTGTGGCAAGAAGGAATCTGATAAAGACACAGGGAGTACACAAAGATTAGCCTTAAAAAGTATACAGGGAGATTCTTGACTGGTAGAAATTGGATCCTTACTCCCACACACAAATAGTCACTCCTTGCAATAAATTACTTGGATGCAGTTATGGAGGTGGTGAGAGGGATTATACTAAACTTGTTCCTCCCTCTCCTTTCAAATTCTGCTTTAAGATGCTCTCTTACAAGCCCACTGAAGTCAGTTGTGCAGTAGGGATGTAAAAGAAATCAGGATTTGCCCTGTCCTCTCTTCTTTTGTTTTTGGTTCATTGAATTTTATTCCTGTAATTCAATAAAAGTGGTGAAGAAGGCCAGAGGATATGAATTAAATATGACAGGAGACCACAGGAATCCTGACCTTCTGTCTCACAAGGAATTCTTGAAACCAACCCCCTGCACGGACCTATCAGCGCTCTAGCTACTGAAATCATTATAAATGCTATTGAAATACAACTAAGTTCCCCTTCTCCATTGCACAGCTAATTGCAACTTTCCTGAAAACAGTAGCTATCTAGAGACCTCATCCTGTGATATGCCTTTGTTTCTTTATGGATGCTTTGTTTTCTTCCTTTGAAAAATGGATTTAACTTCAAATGCTTTCATTCTGTCTATTGTGGCAAGGAGATACGTAGTTAAAACATTTCTCAGCCCAAGACACTCTGAGAAAACTTTAACACTTATCTATGGAATGTGCGGTCAGCTTTTACTTCAGCGGGCACTTAGGTCTATATTTCACATCTAGATGACAGAACTTATATTACTTTAAAGAGTTCATCTATTTATGCTGCAATTTTTTGAAGACCTGTCTGCTTTTATTGAACCCTGCATGCTGGCAAGCCAAGCTAGCACTTCATCACCAAAATGAAAGAATTCACTTTGACATTTTTCTATTCCTTGACTATATTGGTAGATCCCATACAAGCCAATCACAGTACAGGAAAGTATGGAAACT